TGGAAAATGCTTGATATGATTTCAATCATCTTCTTAAATTTATTAAGACTTGTTTTGTGGCCTAACATATGATCTATCCTAGAGAATGTTCCATGTACACTTGAGAAGAATGTATATTCTGTTGCTTTTCTATGGAATGTTCTGTGTATTTCTATGAGGTCCATGTGGTTTAACATGTCGTATAAGGCCAATGTTTCTGTATTGATTTTCTGTCTGGATGACATATTCATTGATGAAAATGGGGTATTAAAGTCCCCTACAGTTATCGTATTGCTGTCCATCTCTCCCTTTAGGTCTGTTAATATTTGCTTTATATATTTAGGTATACCTTTATTGGATGCATAAATATTTACAAGTATTATGTCCTTTTGTTGGCTTGACCCCTTTATCATTATATAATGATCTTCTTTGTCTCTTATTAGAGTGTTTGGCTTAAAGTCTATTTTATCTAAGTATAGATACTCCAGCTTTCTTTTGGTTTCCATTTCCATGGAATATCTTTTTAATCCCTTCACTTTCATTCTGTGTGTGTGCTTACATTTGAAGTAAGCCTCTTGTAGGCAGCATATAGATGGGTCTGTGTGTGTTTTTTTTTTAATCCTTTTAGCCACTCTGTGTCTTTTGATTGGAGAATTTAGTCTATTTACATTTTAAGTAATTATTGATAGGTACAGACTTATTGCCATTTTGTTAATTGTTTTCTGGCTGTTTTAGTAATTCTTCTCTTCCTTTCTACTTCTCTTTCTCTCTTTCTTTGTGATTTGATGATTTATTTAATAATATGATTAGATTCCTTTATCTTTTGTGTATCTACTATAGTTTTTTGCTTTGTAGTTACCATAAGGCTTACATATAACAACTTATATTTATAACGGTCTATTTTAAGTTGATAAAAACTTAAGTTTGTATGCATTCTAAAGCTCTATATTATTACTCCTCCCCCATATTTTGTGTTTTTGATGTTACATTTTACACCTTTTTACCTTGTGTGTCCATTAACAAATTATTGTAGTTACACTTATTTTTACTATTTTTATCTTTTAACTTTCATATTAGCTTATAAACAATTAACCCACCACCTTTACCACATTAGATTATTCTGAATTTTACTATATATTTACCTTTATGTGTGAGATTTATACTCATATATATTTTCCCTTTACTAATTAGTGCCCTTTCATTTCAGGTTAAAGAAGTCCCTTAACATTTCTTGTAAGGCCAGTCTAGTGGTGATGAACTCCTTTAGCTTTTGCTTGTCTGGAAATTCTTTCTCTATTGTTCAATTTGAAGGACATCTTTGCTGGGTAGAGTATTCTTGGTTGGCAGTTTTTTTTTCTTCAGCACTTTGAATACATCATGCTACTCCCTTCTGGCCTGCAAAGCTTCTACTGAAAAATTGTTGATAGTATTATGAGGGTTCCCTTATACAAAACAAGTTGTTTTTCTCTTGCTGCTTTTAAGATTCACTCCTTGTCTTTAACTTTTAACAATTTAATTATAATATGTTTTCATTTGGATAGCTTTGGTTTCTTCTTATTTGGAACTCTGGGCTGCCTGGATCTGCATGTCTTTTTCCTTCTCTGGGTTAGGAAAGTTTTTAACCATTAATCTTACATCTTCAAGTAAGTTTTCTGCCCATTTCTCTCTCTCGTCTCCTTCTGGGACCTCATAATGCGAATGTTAGTCTATATGATGTTGTCCTGTAAGTCCCTTAAGCTATCTTTACTCTTTTTCAATATTCTTCTGTTTGCTGCTCTGATTGAATGCATTCCTTGGCCCTGTCTTCAAGTTTGCTGATCCATTCGTCAGTTTCATCTAGTCTGCTATTGAGCCCTTCTAGTGTATTTTTTCAGTTCAGTTATTGTATTCTTCAGCTCTGTGTCTTATGTTTATATCTTTTTATATTTTCTCTTTGTTGAAATTCTCAATATGTTCATGCATTGTTCTCTTGAACTTGATAAGCATCTTTATGACCATTATTTTGAACTCTTTATCAGATAAATCTCTTACCTCTGTTTCACTAAGGTCTTTTCCTGAGGTTTCAACTTGCTCCTTGACTCTCTGTGTTTGTTTGTATGCAGTAGATAAAATAGCCCCCTCTCCCAGTCTTGAAGGAGCAGCTTTGTAGGAGATGAACCTTTTCATTCAACCCTGCCCTAGCTCTTGGCTGTGTCTCAAACCTTTGTGATTGTCCAAGTAGCCTACTTTGTTCTTAGTGGCTCCCAGTAGTTGAGGGTGTGCCAAGACCTGTAAGGGTCTCAAATGGAAGGATCTGAGTCAACATCTAGATTCAGGCTGATTGGATGCTGTAGCCTCAGGCAGCAGCTTTTAAAGTATGCAAATATACCTCTTTCAGGGGAAGACTGGGAGATGGGCATTTCTGTCCTTTTCCTCTGCACTTAGCCCTGGGGTGATTGATAGACAGTTAAGAACTGTTTCTTTGTTTGCTACCATCCTGTTGAACAAATGAACATAAGCCCCACTGGCCACCCGAGCCTGGCTATCAAGGGATGTGTCCTCTGGGCAGCAGCTACAAAAGCTGAGGTCCCAGATGTGTGTACAAGCTCCTTTCTTGGAGACACCAGTGACCTGTGGTGGGGCAGAGGGAGAGAGCAAAGATGGTGCCTGCTGGCCTCTCTCATCTCTGGAGAGGATTGCAATTGGCCCTAGATGTATGTTTAATTAGAAGCCTGCTCTTCAGGCCACAGGTATGAAGACAAGCTAACAGGCATCTTTCATGGAAAGACAAGGCATTTTTGTCTGCTGCCTCTGAGTGTGCCCCAGGGCAGTGGGCCATGGGGGCGGGGGGGGGGGCAGCTAGCTGGTTAAGAACGGTTTCTCCATTTGTTACAATTCTATGGGACCTGTGACTGTATGTCCCACCGTCCACCAGAGTTAGGTGATCAAGGGGTATACGCTGTGCAGCAGCTACAAAAACCGGGGTGCCCGACATGTGCACAAGCTCCTTTCTGGGAGACACTGGTAATCTGAAGTGAAGTAGAGGGAGAGCTCGAAGATGGCACCCACCTGAGGTCTCTGGAGAGGATTACAGTCTGCCCTTAGATGTGTGTTTAATTAGTAACCTGCCCCATAGGCCACGGTTATGAAGATAAGCTAATAGGACTCTTTCATGGAAAGATTGGATGTTTCCATCTGCTGCCTTTGTGCTGTGCCCTGGGGAGGGGGTAACTTTTTAAGAAATGTTTCTCCATCTTTTACAGTCCTGTGGGACCTGCTAACATAAGCTACTGGCCATCAGAGCCAGGGGATCAGGAGGTGTCCCCTGGATGGCAGCTGCTAAAACGGGGCATCAGGCATATGTACAAGCTCCCTTCTGAGAGATACCGGCAACCTGGAGTGAGGCAGAGTGAGAGGGCAAAGATGGCGCCTGCTCATCTCCATGGTCTTCAGAGAGTATTTCAGTAGGCCCCTGGATGTGTCTTAAATTAGATGTGTGCCCTTTAGGCCAAAGCTTTTAAGATATGCAAACAGCCTTCTCTCATAGAAAGACTGGGTGCTTTTTAGTAGTTAGCTGCCTCTGGGCTGGGCCCTGAGTGGTAGCCTCCGTGAGTCTGTGGGAGCCCTTTAAGAAGAACTGTTTCTCAGTTCACTATAGCATTGCGGGTCTTGGGAATGCAAGCCCCTTTGGCTCTCAAAGCTAGGTGTTTTGGGGGGCTGTCTCAGGTGCAGGTCTTAAAAGTTGGGGTGCCAGATGTGGGGTTCAAGCCCTTTGCTCGTCAAGGAGAAGCTGAAGGTTGTGCGTTTTCTCCCGATTACGGAGATTATGGATTGCTGTGCCAGGAGTGGGGTTTATGGCCAGACTGTGTCTCAGCCTTGCCTACCCATTTTGATGTGGGTTTTTTCTCGTTCACCCTGTGTGTGTAGGAATCAGTCAGCTAGTTTTTGGTTTCTTTCAGAGGGGATTGTTCTAGATGCAGCTGTATATTCAGTGTGTCTGTGGGAGGAGGTGAGTTCAGGATCCTCCTACATTGCCGTCTTGAACAGAACTCCATTTTACATTAACGTCTAACTTAAGGGGAAAATGATTTTATTATTTATTTTCATAGTATGGGCCAAACAACTGAGGCAGAGAGAATTTGTAACCCTTGTACGGTTCACATAGGTAGTAAAGGGCACAGCCAGGTTTTGATCTCTGAAGCAGGATCTCTTGAACTGCTATGAAGACTATTGAAGCTTTAGCTAAAGCGAACTTATAAAAGCACAACTCTAAGAGATGTTTCCTCACCCACACTATTGACATAAGCTCTTCTCTTTGCATTTACTTTTTTCTTTTAAAACCATGATGCTATAGGACAAAGTCAGTTAATCAGTGTTGGTTTTTTTTTTTTTTTTGAGGAAGATCAGCTCTGAGCTAACATCTATTGCCAATCCTCCTCATTTTTTTTTTTTTCCCTTTTTCTCCCCAAGGCCCCAGTAGATAGTTGTGTGTCATAGTTGCATATCATCTTCCTAGTTGCTGTATGTGGGACGCCACCTCAGCATGGCCAGACAAGCGGGGTGTCGGTGCACACCCGGGATCTGAACCCAGGTCGCCAGTAGTGGAGCATGCACACTGAACCGCTAAGCCATGGGGCTGGCCCCAGTTAATCAGTGTTAAATGGTTAACAGAAGTCACAGTACAAGTAAGTGAAAACACCTTCTATCTTGCTCACTGTATCACATTTCTAATATTGCCATTTCTCAGGTCTCTCAGGTCATTTACGTGTCAGTGTTTGCGTTATTACAGTGTTGTTCTAATACTGAGCTTTAACTATTCCTTAAAAGCTACTCTGTGTAATTGTGGTTGGCTTTTTTTTAATAGTATACTTGATAGTGTTGAGAATGTGGAGTAGGATTCCTTTTCTCTGTCAGTGATTTCAGCTGCCAACATCTAAAACAGTGACACAGGGAATCTGTTATTATTAGTTCTGTTTTTTATCAAAGCAAGGGCACTTCAGAAGTGAATAAATCTAGAATAGCCAACATCTCAGTCTCTTGAGCACTTTATTTGTTATAACAACAAGTCAATACCACAAGATGGCACCTTCTTACTTGCAACATCTACAATTACAAACAATTATCTTCATAAAATGGTTTCAGCTTTTTAACGTGCTGTTTCAGATACTATTGAAACCTCATAAAAGCAAGATTTGCTACAAACAGGATCGGCATTTGATGTTTATTAAATGAGGTCAGATCATTAAATTCAAGAAAAGAATTAATTTATAAATATTCAGATAAGAAAATTGAAATTACAAAAGCAGAGTTTGTCATCATTAAACTGAATTACAACCGTGTGTGGTTAACGCTATATCTACGTGGCTAAGTTTTTGTTAAAATACAGTTTTAGTAACCAAATCATCTACCCCAGTCTCCAATACAACGACTCATGTCATTTGTGCACCCTAACATTCAGCACACATTTCATTCAGAAGCCCCCCAGCTTTCATCTAGCCCAGCAATGACACACACTCCATTTTTTTCAACAGATGCAACCCATCAAGTGCCATCATCCCCTGGCTACCAAACAAAATACAGTATTTAAAGGTAAAAACTCAGAGAATTTCTGAAATGGTAACCCATTCTCTCTGTGTTCATGAAAATAGGCAATCCAATTTGAAAGTCTTTGAACCAATGTAAACTCTAGAAACTCAGTGTTGAAGTATGGGAAGAATAAATACCTGCACTAATATAGTGCGTAACAATGCAGTGTCAGACTCGTCATTTACAGTAAATGCCTTGATTGGACTTTCCTCCGGATTGTCATCATGCTGCTGAAGATAAAGTTTACTCAAGTCTGTGGGAATTCCATCATGTTTTCTTCCTCCCATTTCCAAACAGGAAGAGAAGGGTTTTCAGGTCCCTTGGGAAAATCAAAAAATTAAACACTCACACCCACAAACAACTTGAAAGCAAAATGGCAGACTAAATAATCCTTGACTCCATGTCAAAATGAAGTTGAGGCAATATTACTTTTGCAATATTTGTATTCTGCCCAATATATCACATCATGAGATTCCTCAAAAAACTGAGAAGTCTGAGAGCTACAAAAGAGAAAGCGGTTAAGGCAGTTGATGTCTACATTTGGATTTCTTTTTCAGGTTACATGTCTAAGTCTCCATCGTAGGCTAAGGTCAGAGGCTTCTGCTGGGGAGGTGTGCTTTGATGTGGTTTTGGCTTCTTGCTGCAAAGGGAAAAGAATTCCTGAGATAAAGTTCACAGAGCTCTGTTTTATCTGTCAAAGACAATTGTGAGGTATAGAAATTCAAGTGGTTAAATAACAAAGATTCATTTCTCTGGACTTGTGGGTTTCTTTTTTGAAGACTTGTATACTTCAACCCTGTTTTAAGGAGAACCCATCGTGCTTTCAAAATCTTAAAAATGGTTTTGTGGAAACAATGAACTTGGTTAGAGGACTACTTTCCTCTCTTGTTCTTATTTATACACAGTAATGTGACATCTGCTGCTAATTCCTAAGCTAATGCGACCTCCACATCCCAGATGTTTAACATCACAAGCAGCTGGAGCAGCCAGACTCCTGTGCCTTTCCCTGGCCTTGCTTTTAAGTCAACACACTTCTGCTTTGGCCTGAAACCTGACATTTAGCTGCCAAGTCACCAGAGTCGGTCAGGAAAATTTCACTGATTCTGTACCACGCAAAGCCATTCTCACCTGGTCTGCTTTACCTCAGGTCAACTTTGCCAGGTCAGGAAGGCTGCTGTTCCTTCTCACAGAGAGAGAAGCTGAAGTTGAGTACCATTCTCAAATCACACAGCGATGCCCCAGATCCAGGGCAAAACAACCTGCCTTACACTTTTTGATTCTTAGTATGGGTGAACCTCAATTTATGTTTCTGAATATTTATAGTTTGAATTCTGCTACACAGTGCCCCCCCTCACCTCCTCACTGTACTGTTTCCCTTCCTCCTGGATGCATTTGCTTTGTGAGGCCTTCAGAGCCAGCATTCTTTTGGGCTATCCTCACTAGCAGGGAGCTCTCTCTCTCTCTGTCCCTAAATTTCTATAGTATTTATTTTATAGTAACATCAATTATTAATGGAATGCATATTAAGTGCCAAACCCTTTGCTGAGACTTTTACATAAAATACCTCCATAAATTCCAGAACAACCCTGAGAGGGAGGTATTAGGATTATTGCTACTTTACAGAGCAGCACTAGAAAGGTTATTTACCTTCCCTCCAGTCACTGAGTACATGGCAGGGCCTGGATTTTAAGCAAGTCTAACACCCGGCCCCACACCTTTAACCGCTTCACTACATTCTCTCTATACACGTGCCATTAATTAGGCACTTGGTAGAAACAACTTTTTTGTCTGTACATATGAATTGATTTTTATACTCAGAGTGAATTTAAATTAAAAACATTTTAATGTGTATAATTCAGTGGCATTTAGTACATTCACAATGTTGTGTAACCATTACCCATATCTAGTTCCAGAATATTTTCATCACCCCAAACGGAAGCTTTGTACCCACTAAGCACTCTCCCCATTCTCTACCCTGCCCCCACAGCTCCTGACAAGGACTTATCAACTTTCTGCCTCTGTGGATTTGTGGGTATTTCATATAATGGAATCATACTATATAAGCAGCCTTTTGTGTCTCGCTTCTTTCACTTAATGGGTAAAATGGAAAATTTTATGTGAATTATACCACAATAAAAAACGATGTTTGATAAAATTAAGAATCTCCTACTTTAAAATGCTCAAGTTCTAATTCAAGGAGAAAAATTATTTTATTTGGTTTGAATTTTGAAGCAAATTATAGAAGCTAAAGAGAGAAATTAAAAATTATTTAAAAAGAAACTACTAAAAAGAACCACAGATCCTATCAGTGCCCCCACCCCGGCATGCAATGGGTGCTCACTGGATGGGTGCTGGGTGCTGGGGACAGGCTGCAGGCACACAGTTTCCAATCAGAGAAGCTGAAGAGAGGCAGAAACATGCTTTAGAATCCTCTGCAAAGGGACCCACAGCCTCTGACTTCCTGCTTCCCAGGTCTTTTCCACTTCTCAAAAGGGTATTTATTGCATAATTAGCTGAATAACATTTAACTTTATATTAATATATATGTATATTCCAGTGGCTCTTGTCATAGTGCTGGGCTCAGGCCCTAGCATGGAGAATGGACCCAGCTTGAAATGGGGCTCCTAAGTACTCTAGTCTGCAGCATTTATAGGTACTATGAAATCACACAAATAAGAATTTACCACAACTTGCAAGTGACAGCTTGTAGATCCACTCTGGTAGTGGCGATGGTGATAGTGGGGGTTGTACAACCCACCAACTGGGAGAAAATTGCATGAAATAACTGACCAGGGGTTAATTTCCAAAATATATGAAGAACTCATACAACAGAACAAGAAAAAGACAAACAACCTGATCAAAAAATGGGCAGAGGATATGAACAGACATTTTTCCCAAGAAGATATACAGATGGCCAACAGGCACATGAAAAGCTGTTCAATGTCACTAACTATTAGAGAAATTCGAATCAAAACTACAATGAGATATCACCTCACACCTGTCAGAAAGGCTATAATTAATGGGATGAGAAATAAGAAGTGTTGGAGAGGATGTGGAGAGAAAGGAACCCTCATACACTGCTGGTGGGAGTGCAAACTGGTGCAGCCTCTATGGAAAACAGTATGGAGATTTCTCAAAAAATTAAAGATAGAAATACCATACTACTTAGCTATCCCACTACTGGGTATTTATCCAAAGAACATGAAATCAACAATACAAAGAGATCTATGCACCCCTATGTTCACTGCAGCATTATTCACAATAGCTAAGATGTGGAAGCAACCCAAGTGCCCATCAACTGATGAATGGCTAAAGAAGATGTGGTATATATATACAATGGAATACTATTCAGCCACAAAAAAAGACAAAACCATCCCATTTGCCACAATGTGGATGGACCTTGAGGGTAATATAGTAAGCAAAATAAGCCAGACAGAGAAAGACAAATACTGCATGATCTCACTCATGTGTGGAAGATAAACTAACACATGGACAAAGAGAACAGATTAGTGGTTACGAGAGGGGAAGGGGGTGGGGGGTGGGTGGATGGTGTAAAGGGGCACACGTGTATGGCGACAGGTGAAAACTAGACTATTGGTGGTGAACTCAATGCAGTCTATACAGAAACTGAAATATAATAATGTACACCTGAAGTTACACAATGTTATAAACCAATATGACCTCAATAAAAAAAGAAAAGAAAAAAGAATATGAGTAGGTTCATCTGAAATGACAATAGGGGTCTTACCCCTCCCATCTCTCCTGCTTTTTTGAGGGGAGGGCAAGAGAGGGGAAAGAAATGTAGGTGATTCCAAATGGGGCTTTTGGCAATCCGCTCTTAACTGGCATCTGCTAAGGGCTATTAGGCAAAGGGACATGGGATAGCTGAGTTCTGGGGAGTAGGGAGGAGGGACAGAGATGGCTAGATCTTTATATTGAGATAATGATATTGCCAGGGAGACAGCTAAACTGGGCCAACCTTTGTGAGCCGGGCCTGGAAAATTCTCAAAATATTAGATATTTTTTTTTATACCAGTTTCCATGTATGGAAATATGAACATTGCATCCACCTCTGGATAAAAATGGAGGGCTCCTAATATGTAGGACTTGGATTTTTGTGGGCCATGGGATGTGTTTGGGATCATTGTGATGAAGGCCTGATTTTATTATGAATTTTTTCATATTGTGTAACCTCAGATACTAAAATCACACCAATGAATGTGAGAGATTGAGAATTTTCATCGAGTTTGAAAGTTCTCCAATGTTGGCAACTGGTGAATAAGGTGGTACTTTACTGGGTAGCTGTGACTTTACAAAGCTTCCTGGCCAGTTAAAAAGAACCTAAGGGGAGGAGCTGAGTGTCAGGGCTGCCCTCAGCAAAGCCAGCAACTAGGAGACTTGTTTTTAAAGGTCCCTGCTCCCTTTCCTTACTCCCTTACTAGTATTCATTTTTCCCTTAAGAAATAAGGTTTTTTTTTTTTTTAAGCATGTTTTCTCCTTAACTCCTCTCCTCAATTAGAAAAGGTGTGGTCGCCTCACTCACACTACATCAGGACCCACAAATGCCTGGCACATAGGCTGCCATCACCACCAGTCATCCTGTACCCCCGGCGGACACCTCTAATCCATCACACAATTCTTTCCTGTTGGGCCGAGGTGCAGCCTCATAACTCTTCCTAATGGAGCACTCTTGACAGCCACCACCCTTTTTAGTTTTGCCACAAGAAATAAAACCATTATGCAACCCTGGGTGTAAGAGATCACTGACTGACACATTTTAAAGGGACCTCTTCCACGATCATTTGCACTGTAGCAAAGGATAAATTCATTAAGCCAGAAATGTGAGCTCATTATGAACTGACAGGCAAGCTGCTGGCACTTCTTAGCACTGTTGAATTCAAGTCACAAGAACCCATTCCGAGGCCAGTGGAGATTAAATAGCTTGATGAAAGCCGGAAACTGTCTTTTGTTTAGGCAGTTACTAATGAGGGCCGACCCTCTGGAAGTATGGGCACCACTCTCAAACTTGGGCAGAATGAGAGCTCATTTACTGAGTTGTGCTGAGCAAGGCAGAATGGATGTCGTTATCCGGAGTAACTTCCAGGCACTATGTTTAGATTAACTACGAACTCACCCAGTGGTCGTCCTCACTAAATTGCCTCATGGATCTTTTATTGTCAGGGGAGCTGGGGCACCAGGAATATTTCAAAAACTCGGAACACTAATGGCAGATGTACAAAAGGTTGTATCTCCACGAAATGGTCCTTAAGAAGACTGTTTTTCTATATTTTCTCAAAAGCATTTCCAAGTGTTATTATAAATTGCCTTCATCTGAAATATACACCTAAGACCAGGCATATTATAGCAGTTCTTTTGTCCTAAGCCTTTTATTTTGGGGAGAAAATATCAAGTCTCCAAAACTGTCATCCTCTAACTCTTCTGCAAGCTATTTAATAGAAGGAGATGCTGTGAAAGTATCTATTTGGATTCTTCAGGCAGCTCATATGTAACAGTAAATGGTATGTGTTTTGATATCAACAGGTATGTTCCCAGGTCTATAGCTTACTTTACTTGGGAAAAGAGGAGCCTCTAAAAAATGTGAAAGCTGTAGATACTACATTGAGTCTAAAGAGTTTTCAGGATTATTCAAGAGAAAGAAATTACAGAGACTGGGAGGCCAGTGGAAAGAGTGTATGCTTAGGGGTTAGGCAAACCTGGAGTTGGTTTTACCAGGCTGATGACCTCAGATAAGTTAAATAAGTTAAATAACTTATTTGAGGATCACTTACTCTCTCTTTAAAAGGAGGAGGAAAATAGCAACATCTCATTAGCTTATTGTGAGGACTGAATAAGGCAATCTATGTAAAGTACTTTGTTTGAAATATAAATATTAGATTTTTTTTTCCTGACCTTTGTCTCTGAAAATCATGGGCAATAAATGATTTGCTTTACTTGTCCACTCACTTATTCATTTTTTCAATAAATATTTATCAAACGTGTTCTAAAAATATATATCAATGAAACATAGTCATTATACCTCTTCCCATCCCTCCCACAAAGTTCTTGGGGTTTGATAGAGGAGGAAGATGTTTATACAAATAACTACAATATCAGTATGGAATAAATGCCCCAGGGGAGGAGGCATGGACAAGTTACGCCAAACTGTTTGATAAGGAAAATTTGAGTTTTACTGGGAAGAACTGGTGGAATGAAATAGCTAATGATGAAAAATTCCTTCTGGATGATTGGGATATAAGGAATAAACCATGGAAGCAGGAGCCTCCTTGCAAAATTAGAAGGTACCACCGTAAGTGCCCTAATATAAGGTTACTTCTCCCCAAAATTTATCTTTCAGAAACAGGTTCTAGCCTTATATTCAACCTCTATAAATCTTTCATATTATGAGGAGCTGCCTTTACAATACAAAAGTTTTTTCTAAATAGAGATCATAAATATACATGCACAGTACAAAGAAAATGGCCAACTTCCCTAACATACATGACTAGGTACTTGGGTCTTAGAATAAAGCCTCTGAAACAGCAACACAAACAGATTCAAAGCAGGGCTGTATCTCAAACAACCTGGATGGAAACGAACACGGTAAACTTGAAGAAGTGAATTTGATTGTGGAAAGGGAGACTAAAGCAACGACAGAGGGACTGATCTGAAAAAAGATGTGAACTTTGAATAAAACCATGTTATTAAATTAGAGAAAATGAATATTTTATAATAAAATAATGTGTAATATAGGATTATTGATGGAATATATAAAGAACATTGGTTAAATAGAGTAGAAAATTTACTATTTTGTCAGAATAAGAAAAGTTTATTAAGAAAGTAAAATTTTTGTCTTTTTATTTTCTACAATGGTAAAATAGTGGAAGATGAAGTTGAAAGAGTTGTTCAGGCTCAAATTGTGGAAGCCTTTTGTTGACTGCCTAGGCACCCAGAACATGACTTTCATTTTGCTGTCAGTGGGAAGCCACTGCTGGTGTCTGAATAGGAGAGGGGCTGATCACCTGGCTAAGTTTTAGGAAGACTAACCTGGCTGTAGAATGCAGAGGGGAGCATTGGTCAACGAGCCCAAATATGGAGCTATTGTGCTACTCCCAAAGGGGGATTATTAAGACCTAGCATTGAGGATAAAAAAAATTGATATGAGAAATAATGTACAGAAATATTTATGTAATCTGGTCACTGAAAAGTAAGGGGAAATTCTATTGACCTTTTATATTAAAACTTCTTTAGAAAATTATGTTTGTTACCAGAATTCAGTGATGTACCTAATTAATCCCCAGAGCCTACAGTCATGCAGAAAGGGCCTCAATAAATATTTATTACTAAGGAATGGATTAAGATTAACACAATTTTAAGTTGGAGGAAATGGAGAAACGTAAAAAGGCAAAATTTATGAGTATTACTAAATGTTAATTTTAGCTATTCGAAGGAAGAGGGAACCATAGAATCTGGAATTGGGGATGTGGCTATTACTAGAACACATCCAACCTTTTACAGACTAATAGACTGATGACCTTACACTGTGTTGGGCCTTTGCTTTGAGGGCAGTTTCTCATCTGTCAAACCTTCAAGTCCTTTGTTGCAATTTAAGACCTTTTCCTCTTTTTCTAATGTTTTCTGGTAGTTCAATGCTTCCTATCACTCTGAACCTCATATAATGCTTTCAACTTCCCATTTGTTCATTAAGACAGGATCTAGGTCATACTTACAAAACTGATCAATTCAAATATAAAAATAGGTCAAATCATTAGATTATAGAATGAATGACTAATTGAAGGTGTGATTTTTTACTACAACACTGTGGAAACAAAAGTTGGATAGAAATCCAATTTCTAGAGATTCAATTTCTGTCACTACAGGTGGCAAAGAATTAAAGTCATCTTATTTTCTTCACTAACTTTCACCAACCAAGAGCAAAGATTTAAAAATCTGTGTAGCCTTGGAAACAGAATTTGAGGCTAAATGTACAAAGGCTGGATTTGAATCGAGATTAAAACTTGGGTAAAAATTCAAGGAAATAGTCCATGAGACAGAGGATGAATATAAATATCTTGCTTTGGAGAAAAAAGTGAAGTAACACTTTAATCTCATGAAAATAAAAAAAAAATCTTTTGAAAATTTTGCTTAGGAAGCTAATAAAATAGTCTCAACGCACTTGAAAACATTCAAATGTATTTACTTCTGCCTGGTTTCAAGACCAGCTCATAAGCTAAAACATATTCTGTACAATAAACTAATCATCATTTTCTGAGAATTGATTTTCAGAAACTAGTCACTTACAAAATGGGGTTCCTGGAATTGACAGTCAAATTTTCTCTCATAGCTAGTTAGTATAGATAAACACCTGGCTCTACTATTTAAAATATACTAACAAGTTGTTTGAACCAACTGGTCACTTTAACCTAACTGGTCAAAATAGGCCAATTTAAAATTTAAGAACTAGAATTATCTAGAGTAATGGTTCTCAGCCTTGGCTGTATATTAGAATTACCCAGGGCACTTTGAAACATCTAGACCACTTGGCCACATGAAAAACTAATTAAATCAGAATCTCTGGGGCTGAGACCCAAGTATCTGTCCTCAGGAGATGCCAGGAGTTGCCAATGGGTAGTCAAAGCTAAAAACTACTGATCTAAGTCAAAATACTAAAAAGTGAAAGTCCTGACTAATGATTTGTCTCTCACACCTTCTGATGTTATTTGAAAACCAAATAAAAAATCTTATTTCAAATAAAGACAATAAAGATAATGATCTCCCATTTCAACTATTCAACAATTCTACTGTTGGTGACAATTTGTGAGTTCAAGGTTCCTATTATAACGGTCAATGATCCTGACTTGTTTCATTTTAGTATAATATGCCACCCATAAAAACAAGGAATATAAACTTTTTAATAATTAGTACTTACCAAACAAGGTAGGAAGTAAATACTAGGAAAATCATGATAAGGAAACCACCACCTGAAACTCCATAAACCCAAATTTTTACTCGGCCATCTGTTTAAAATAGAGATAAAGTAAGCTTAGTGTACAAAGCTGTATTTCTCATCTGAATTTATTTATAACCTATTTTATTTCTCATCTGAATTCTGAGACTTGCATACGTCATAGGTAGAAATACCTATATGTGACAGCTATCAAATGTAACAAAAATATCAGGTAAAAATGTAAGATAGTCTATCAAATTTTTCACATTGCTAAACACTAACAATCATTACTTCATAAAATCTAACAATTGGCAGGCTACTTTGAGTTTATTTTCACATGTGTATAGTCTCATACATGTAACACAAAAGTATTGCAAAATATTTTGACAACATAAGTAGAAGAGAGAAATAAATTAAGAGATAATCCTGTAGGCAAAGAAAACTACTATGATCATTTTGGTGGCTTTGCTTCTTGAATGATGTTAGGTAAAAGAAAAAATTCATGACCAAAGAAGCTAATCAATTCACCAAATTACTGTAAAACTACAACCACATGTGTACATGTATACATTATTTTGGATTTGATATCTGCTAGAGTTGAAGAAAAATAGATTAGCCAAATAGTCTGATCAGTTTTGTGACTTTCACTATATAAGGTATAACTTGAGTGTATGTATGTTTTTCCTATATATGATAGAAATTTGAGTTGTTTCTGGAAATATAGTGTGATTTGCTCTATTTTATGTGAGCATACAGTTAACTAAACTTAGAACTGGACAGACAAAGGCAATGCCTCAGCATCCCAAAGAAACTGCATTCCTTTCTGAAAGATATACACACACAGAAGTTTCATTATACTACATATGTGCTTTTTGGACCTGCAACTGATCACACTTAGCATCTTATTCTAAAGGCTTCCGTGAGATGAAAAACAATCAAAATCTATTGTAAACAACACTTGTTTGGAATAAAAGCACAATTACATTCAATTATATTACGACTACCTATTATAGTTTTTGCTTACAAGACACTTGCAAGCCTCAATCAGGTTTTAGAATGAGGTTTTAATGTAGTAATGATATTTTTCTATGGTCATAAAACTTTTAACAAAGCTTTGATTCTGATCTCTTTGAAACACTAATGATGAAATCCCCTATTCCGAGTTTTTTACATCGGCAATAAAAAGAAAAGTCTTCCCTGAGTGAGAACACAGCTTTCATTTTCTTACCTCTAAACCTCAAAGAGCTGAGGTATTGGGAGGACAGTGCTTTTAAATCCCCAGTGTAGAGGTATGTGCTCCATGACCTTTAAGCCATGTTACTTAAAGAAGAATTAATTAATATAACTTTCTGTAATAACAGAATAGATTGGATCAAACTTCAAACTATTAAAAAAAGATATGTAGTAAAAAATAAGTCTGCCACCCTTGCTCAGTTCCCTACCTAGGAGCTACCACTGTTACCAGTTTCCTTGTGAATAATTTCATGATTTTCTCTGCATATGCAAGAGTTTGAGTACATACACACAAATACATACACCTTTTTAAAAAATACACAAGTGGTATATATCATTCACTTTGGTCCTTTTTTTCCACTTAACAACACATGTTGGTATATTTCCATGCTAGTTCACAAAGGCAGGTTTATCTTCTTTTTAATATATCTGGAGATATACTGCATAATCGTATCATATTTTTCCCATTCTATTTATAGATATGTAGGTTGTTTCCACTCATTTGCTATATAACAAGCAATCATGTAATGAATATCATTTACATACTTCTTAGTATATGTGTATATATTTGTATGATGAATTCCTAGGAAAGAAATTTTAGATCAAAATGATAGATATTGCCTAAATGGCCTCCTAGAGGTTGCTCCAATTTATACTCTCATTATGAGAACATAGTGAAAGTTATAAACTCTCTTCCAAGACTAAATATATATCATATATGTGCTTACATACATACATATGTACACAATAGTATATATGAATATACACATATATTTGTATATATACATGTGCGTATACACACAGATATTCACATACATGATACTATTGATGCTTTAGTTAGACCCCCAAATGTTAAGGACCTCACTTGTGGATTTGAAGACTCATTTCTCTGGGACCTCACTCTAATTTGCTTCCAGAAATAGGGTCTAGAGGCAATGGGTGAGCCTGGCTACATTTCATATCAAATTTAAATCTACTACTATTTTAGTCACAGAATAAATATAATGTTTTTAAACATCCATGGCATGCCCAGACATATAGGGGAATCAAAAGTGAATAAGATATTGTGGTTATCCCCAAAAGGTGGATGAGGAGGGTACATCTTGTTTCCCCCACTAAATCTAGGGTCCCTTGGGCCTGAGCTCTGGTTTTTGCTTCATTTAAGCACATCATCAAAGCACTTATGGTATGCAAAGGTCTAGGATCTGGGAGGAAATTTCCCAGGGTATATTTTGCCTGAGATTTGTCTGTCTCTTCCCTCTCCATGTCCTGTCAGTTATGCCGTTTTCCTTAGTCATTAGTAGCATTTTGTTTCCTAGAAGAGGTATGTGTGATAGGCACAGAGAATCTTACTTTCCTTTTCCGCCTACTTCAAAAAGTGGGAAGCAGAGACCAGTGCTATGGAAAGGCCTTAATGATCTGCCTTTCAAACCCTCCTGTCATTTACTGGTGGTTTGAGCTTGGTCGAATTAATTTGAACTGCCAGTTTCAGATTCATAATCTCTAAAATGGGATGATAGCATCTCATTAGGTTGCAAGGACATAATGAGATGCCTCACGCAATATAATCAGCACAGAACCACAGGATACACAGAAAGCATTTCGTCAATGTTCACTCCTGTCCTTAATAACCACCAACACTTGAGCCCTGCAGGCCCAACGCTATGCTAATACTTAGAACAATCCTGCAGGATGGATGCCTCTAGACTGATTTCACGGATGAAGAAACAGTTCCAGAGAGGTGAAGAAATTACACTCAATCATAAAACAGGTACATTCTGAGCCACGATGCCAACAAGGTCTCTCTGCCTCTGAAATTGATGCTCTTTACCATTTCTCTAGTGTTTCTCAAATCAGATAGGTTCCCTGAACATTTCCTAAGGTATCTGTATATTCCTGAGCATCTATTCCAATTTTTGCTTTTAATTTCAATTATATACAGAAATTCACAATTATAAAAGCAAAGTCTTCCACAGAGATAACAATTAAAAGATATTTTTAAAGATTAATATTTCAGTTACTTAATTCAGTATCTCTTAGACTAGGGTTGACAGACTTATCCCCAACCACCCATGAGAACATTTTACATCTAAAGGGGACCATACATACATTATATAACAATCAAACTTGAGAAACCTTGAACTAGACCATACTGCCTCTTCCTTCTCTCCTCTTTTCCTCCTTCCCTCCATTCTTTCCATCATGAGCAGGGGTCACAATATGAACCCTAACCCCCCACAAGAAAACTTACATTTCTTACTCATAACTGAAACATACCTGGATCAAGGGGTTGAAGAGACCATCCTTTAAAAATATCATGTATTTTTGAATTCACAGGTCTGTTTTTCCCAGCAAGGTTTTTCACATCAGCTTTCTTATCCTCTGAGCCAGGTACTTTCATGCAGTAATCCAGGAAACCATTTGATCTCATTATCTCTGTATAGCCTTTCTCACAACCACAGACTCCGCCCTACACAATAAAAAAATATTTTTACAGTTACACAGTGAGTTGTGCAGAGGAAAAAAGAAAAATTTAAATGTTGGGATCACTTAATATTTGCATGATATGTCATGGAAATTTAGGGTTTTTCAGCAACAGACTTGCCAAAGAGATGAAAATCCAATAAATAGTTTATTTTTCTGAATTCTAAAGTCAACCCTTAAATAAATCATCAGATTTTCTAGTGGTTTACAAATCTTACACCTTCCAAATATGAAATCACAGTTCTTTGTCAAAAAAGGGCATTAACTACATCCTTTTCTCTCTCATAGAGATGTTTAAGGCGTTTAATCAAATTAGCCTCAACTCTCCCCCAGCTGTTTTAGATTCCTGTCCACTCACCCCAACCTGCCCTTGATACTGAGAAGCAAAGCAGCAGGGATTATGTACATATCGTCTTTGAGGTCTGTTGCTACCCCAGCTGCTGAATGCCTCTATCACCTTCTACCATTAATCACTAACTAGTCTGAACTACCTCTCTGCTGGTAGGCTTGGTTCAGCACTCAAGGAGGGCAGCCCAAGTGGAGAAAAAAAGACTTCACCAAATGCACATGTCCAAGAGAGGGATGAGAGGTATTTATATGATATCTCATACATAATATATATATCCCTCTCTTTAGTAACCCAAGTGTCACATCACATCATCATATTCCTAATTGGCATTGTGACAATGTGTCCTTCATAATTGCCTATGGATTCCTGGCCATTCATGTACAATAAGCCTCTCCAAGAAGCTGACTATGATGAAGTATTATGGACAAGGATTTCTATCTGTTTTTGAAAGCAAAACTGAAAATAATTGTTCTGCCTTCCTCCAGCAAACATAGAGACAACAGAGTAGAACAGAAAAAATTAAGCATAAGATTATGAATCTCTATGACTTTGCTATCAGGGCTCCTTACCTAAAACTGTGTATCTGGCATTTTCTGAACAGGCCCTAGTCTCATGTAGTACTTAAGTCAATCCTTATCAGCCAGATTTATTTAGGTCATCAATTGTGAATGAACACATGATTTTGAGGAGCAGTAGATACTAAAACTAAAGAGGGCACACCTCAATCTTCCACAGAAGGAAAAGGTCAGAAAAGCATATAGTATAATTAATAACTTCCCACAGTTAGCAAATAGGCAGCAGTCATATAATAATGACAATTTTATGGTATTTCCAGTTGGTTTTAATTGAAGGCATTACACAGTGTTCAATGGAGAGAACTAATTAAGAAAATTTGTATATGCTCAGCTATGAAAGCCATCTTTTCAAGATGCAGCTCTATTAGTCTGAGTGAAAAGTTATAACCAGTCTCATAGACCAAAGGTTCAAGGGAAAAGTTAATTTATATTTATTAAAGAGGGTATCCAGAGAGTTGGTGGAAAGCTACAACTTCTATCTTGCAAATATCATTAGGCCACGAAGTTGCTGCTGATCTCTTCTTTTCTTTCTTTTTTCTGTAAGCTCAGTCACTGACTTTTCTTTGGTAAAGAATTAACCTAGGGGGCCGGCCCGGTGGTGCAAGCGGTTAAGTGCGCATGCTCCACTGCAGCGGCCTGGGGTTTGCCGGTTTGGATCCCAGGCGTGCACTGACGCACCACTTGTCAAGCCATGCTGTGGCGGCGTCCCATATGAAGTGGAGGAAGATGGGCATGGATGTTAGCCCAGGGCCGGTCTTCCTCAGCAAAAAGAGGAAGATTGGCAGATGTTAGCTCAGGGCTGATCGGGCTGATCTTCTACACACAAAAAAAGAAAAAATTAACCTACCTTGGAGTAGAAGAGCCACAAATAGGATTGAGTGCTTTAGTTATTTTTAACCTACTCATTTTTGGAAAGTGCAAACTACAAGAAGAAACTCGTTCTCTTGAGAGACATGGCATACATTTTTTTAAATATATATGCACTGCACACTATGAGTGCCATTGATTGCAATACAGTGCAAATTTTGCATTAAATCCTGAGCAGTGGTATATGGGAGGTAAGAGAGGAAAAGGGGACAAAAGATTTCTGCTGTAAAAAAATTTATATATATATAGACACAATTATTATCCATAGCCACATATTTGACTTATTTAAAATCAACTAGAAATTGACTCACACTACAGTAATAGTAGTGTAATCAATTTTACTAAATAGTATTTAGCAACTATGAACATGCATTTATAGTATCTTTCAAAATAGTTTAGGTATATGAAAGGCTAAGAATGGAGGAAATAAATCAACTGAGAACATTTATTGATAAATAGAGCTAACACAAATTAAATATCTGAAAGACAGATTTGGCTATAGACAAACTTATAGAAAAAACGACTGCTGTTCTTAACACATGGCCCTGCAAAGAAATTCTTAAAAGCTGTGATTACTCCTGCACATGCCTCTAGATGGTATCGCGGGTACACGGAACTGCTGCTTGGGCTATAGCAGAATGGAAAACATCCGACAGCAAGTGCATAACACAGCCATTAAAATACTTGAAGTCTCCAGCACATGACTCACCTGGGTACAGTAGGAGAAAGGTTTTCTGCAGGCGGGATTACACTGCCGAATAGCAGCAGGACGTGCCTGGGGGGAGCAGCCTCCTACAAAGGAAATCCCACCATCAGTTGCAGAGTTTTCTATGATAAACATTAAAAAAATTTTTTTTCTTCCTCTCTGGCACTGGCCATTTTGTAACTGTTTTATTTTTTTTAATACGTTTGCTGACATGTGGCCCAGTCTTATTTTATTGATTACTCCAGGATGGACTGTTTGAGATGGAAGGCTCTGCTAACAGAAGATGGTTACAATAGAGTTTTTATATCTGCTCATTGGCAATGTGATTCTATCATATGGCTGTGCTGGAGGGCAAAGTCTGTGAGCACCAGGATCAGTAAAAGAATTGATGAAATCTCAATTTAAGCTCAGGAACAGAAAACATATCTGCTCGAAGACCCATTCTATGTATATTTTTCTCTAGCACCCGAATACCCCAACTAGGCACTAAGCTGAATCCCAATACCCAAATGCTAAAAGAATGCCACTAATCAATTCATGGGATCATAATTCAGATGCTTTGGTAACATTTTTAAATGTATTTCAATCAGGATACAGACACACACACAGACAAATTTTTAAGAGCAGATGTATACACTCCAGGAGGGGCAATCACACATCTTACACAGTACTTGTAGGTGCTCATTAAATATTTTTGAATAAATGGATGTAATAATGCACGCACCTATAATCTGAAAATCATTTACATATCAGTTTTGCCTTCCTGGATTCAAGGAACTAAGCTAAGATTGACATAACATTCGAGGGCATTATTGAAACCTTATTTATAATATTGGTTGCATTTATAGGTTCTAGCCTTTGCATTAGTATAACTGTCTACCAATTATAGTGTATGATTTTGTAGCTAACAAAAATCTCTGGGCCTAAGGCAGTGTAAAGAGCAGTCAGATCTACATTTTCCCAGGGAATGAAGCAGCTAAATTCTCACTGTTACTTGAAAAATAAAACAAACCATCCATACAGAAATAAAACAACAAACCCCACAATCCAGAATTACCACCTAGGTGTGAAATTGATAACATGGGCATTAGTGGCAATAACCACACAGTCCTGTTGCTACCAATTGTGTTTGGAGAGGGTGTTTTCCACTCTTTAAGCCAGTGATCTCCAAAGTGCAGTGTGTGCATTCTGGGGGCGGGGATCTCTTCGGAATTGGGAAGAAAATATTTGAATTTATATAGTTTATACATTTTTTTAAATTTTAAGAATGAAATTAAACTCCAATAATATGTAGCAGATGATACTAGTAACCTGAGCTGATTCATCAGATGTGCACATGGTGTACACTGTGCATGAAGTACTCTTTGTGAGAATTCGATAGTGTAACCCTCACCAGCTTAACTCCAAGCTTACTGTAGAGTAAGATGCTTTCTGTGTTCCTGGTTAGGTAGAGTTACAGTACATTTAGTTTTAACAATAACTTACAAAATGGACAAGTAGCTTAAAATAAGTTATTATATGGATAAATTATGGAATAAAGGGAATACCAATAATGCAAAAACAGGTAAACAAGAAAAAGGCAGAGCTGACAATTCTTCTGTTCCTATAGAAGAATAGAAATTCTCCCACTCCTGCGATAAGTTCATTGTCAGCCGCCTTATTCGTGCTAAATAAAAACACAATTAAATTTTCTCTGATAAGAAAGCATCAAAATAAAAAACCTTTAAAATTATTGGGAAGACCATTTGTCGATCAAATTGTATCCACCATCATGAGTGAGGAACCCTTCCCTCAGTCTATATTTAGATATTAAATAATAATCACGACTAGCACAATATCCAAAAACTAAGCTTCCAGTACACAAATGCAAGCATCTATAATTTACAGCAAAAAAGATTTTTGCACCATCCACAAATATGATAATTTAATTTTTTATATCTTTATCAACCCTTTTAATTTCAATTTCTGTATATGTTTTATAATTTGATATATTAGCATAGAAACGCGGGAATATATGTTGACATATGTCCTCAAAACTTTTCACTGAGAAGGTACGTGATTTGAAATTTTAGAGACCATTGTTTTAAATTAGCATCTGTCTTGCCGGTCTTCCTCAGCAAAAAGAGGAGGATTGGCATGGATGTTAGCTTGGGGCTGATCTTCCTCACACACACACACACACACACACACAAAATTAGCATCTGTCTTTTTCACTCTCAGATCATAATATTTAAGGAAATTTATTGTATTTCAGCTTATTTCTTTAAGTTGTCTGATATATTATGGGTCTTCAAATAGAATTGTTTGCTTTCTGAGACGCAGAGGTCTAATGACAATTTGCCATGAAGATCATCTAAGGCCATCTGCCCAGTCTTCCCTTGCTTATAATTTGTAAGCTAATTCTCACAAACAGCAACACTCAGGGATCTTTTTGAAGTGCCCACACAAATCTTAGGTAGGAATACCTGTAACATTAATGCCATCTGAACGTTGGCACCATACAGTGCGTTCATTATTGTTCCAAAGACTTGCTTTCCATGTGTAGTGATAACATTTGCCTCCTGAAAGCAAATATGATAACAGTGGTTCTATTATACCTCACATGAAATAGAATAAGCATTGATCAATCAAGGCTAAGAACTGAAAAGTGCTCTTGGTACCTGAACAAGGGCGTGTTTCTAGAACCTGCTGGGGGCAGCTGTCTTGGTTCTCAAAAGACTGAATTATAAATGTCCTTGACCTAGATTGGCGGCCCAATGTCTCAAAGCTTCTTCCATCGATGCAGGTTAGTTCACACGTGCTCCACTCTGACCATTCTGTTAAATGGCAGTCTCCTGGATGATGTGCAGTACAGAGCAGGGGAGACAACATGAAAACTGGTACTTGACAACGTTCACATGGACAGGTTCATAGTGAGATGTGTGGTGGTTGTGCAGTGATATGGGTGGTTTCTAGATACTATACATTCTACTCTGACCAACTTTCCCATTAGAAAGTACCAAGAATGATGAAGTACATTATGGTTTAATCTAGTTTAGCAAGAGAGTGCCAAAAATTAGATTGCCATTACTTTGCTTCAAATCACAGTAGTCTTATCTAGAGAACACTATGTGTCTGCTAGTGATAATAAAATTTTTTAGAGAGAGATGTAAAGATGATAGTAACTCAGTTTTCAAAGAGCAGCATAACATCATAAAATGGATGTTCATAGAAACCATATAAAGGGAATAAGTCGGTCACTTAAGTGGAATATCTTTGGGCCTAAAGAACATTTAATTTAATAATCTGAACACACACATTTGCATATATGTATGTAAATGTTTACAAACATGCATGCATGTTACATGCCATATCATAAGGATATTTTAAGCCACCTTAAACTTATGCCACACAAGCTAAGTTGTGTTATTAGGGTTAAAATAACTCATACATTTTATGTAACTAATAATGGCCTTCACAATTACATGGAACTTGACCATTTAACAGCGTGCTTTCATAAACCTATAGTCTTACTTGTCCCCACCATGCCATCAGCCAGACATTCACCCACTCATGTATTCAGTCAACATTTTTTGAGTGCTGGCCAGTGTGCTAGGTGCTGTTAGGTCAGGTATTATTAACACATTTCATAGATGGAGCAACCACTGCTCAAAGGGGCTAGACCCTATGTCCCAGGGAAAATGTCAGTGAAGTGATAAAGACAAGATTCTAATTTAGCTCTTAACTTTCCAAATCTGGTGCCTTTTTTCTTCCTCTTGCCTACTTTGCCTCCACTGAAGCTGTAGTTATATTCCAAAGTGATAACCACAATTAAAAATGAATTAAAGTCAATTAAAAACTTCAATTTTGATGAGACAGAGCTTCTCCAGATAAAAGAAAATAAATAAATAAAAAGATAACCGTGGAAGGTCCTCACAACTGTTTAAAACTGCATACCTGCGCAAGGCACAACACACGGCTGCTTCAGGATGCTGTCCTGAAAGGGCATTTTTCCACACAGTGCATCGTCTACACGTACAGCCCAGTGAGACATTGAACCATTGTGGACCACGCAGGAGAGGCTGCGGACCTGGACTCCTTCCCCACAGTCTCCACCCTGTGAGAGGAAATGATACTGTCAGAATTACCCAAATAATTACCATCTTAGAGTTTTGACTCCTGCCACCCGGTTGCCCAAGAAACCCTAGTTGTGTATTTCATCAACTTTCTCCTCTTGGGAGTTATCTTTCAATCGTTAACAATAAAGCATCACTGAGCAATTCTTGTAGAGCTGAAAGAGAAGCTAAAGTAGAAAAGCAAATTTATGCCATGGAATTTATGTACTCAGAATATGACAATTCATTTTGGAACTCAGCCAGGATTGACTGAAAAAGAAAAACAATACATAATTTGTCTAGGTGTATGTGATAAAATGGCCCTAATCCATAATCACTCCCCAAAAGAGCATGTACAGCCACAGGGCATACATTTCTCTTTTACTTTGCTTGCTTTTCCTTTGTAGGGAATTCAGTACTTTCTCACACGGATTAGGCTGGGGTTTCCAGTAAAACACTGATTTTCTTTATTGCCATGAGAAGTTGTTTTCCCAGCATGCGTTTTGTGCTAAATAATGTTCTTTAAAGAGATTTCATACAAATTCCACTCAGATAATTCTGGGCAATTAGAAAAAATCTGTGCCATGTCTCACAGAAACAGAAGCTTAGAATCGGAGGGCTTTTAGTGGTTATCTGACCCAACCATCTGCCTGATGTTATAGTAGAAAGCCTTTCATTTTGGCAGATACACATGAGATGAGTTTTAGTTCTCAGTTTTATTCAGGTGCTCATACTTCAAAAAGAAGTCCATTGGATATTTGGATAACTTCAGATGATACCTCTGTTTTTGCATAAATACCTTAGAAAACAGCACCTAAGGTACAGCTTTTATGCTAAGGAAGTGAAATTCCAGGATGGCAGAACTGGAGCAGGGACAGAGGGAGAGCAAATATAATAAGGCAGTGCGTTAGCAAGCTGGCCTCAACTCCACAAGAAAACACAGTTGGTTTCTTGGTCACCCATCACATCTTCCAGACAGGCCATGTGGTATCACCAGGCCTCAGTACCATCCATGAAGCGGGGAGGGAAAAAGAAGGGAGAGGCATGTAAATGCCAGCTCCCACTTGGATCCAGTTCTCATTGATCAACCTTCATCCCAGAGAGTATTCACTTCATTATACTTCCAAGGTATGTTACTCAGCTTCCCCTAAGTCCAGAAGTTGGAAGAGCTAGAGCCTTCATGACTACTACTGGTATGGTTGGAGAGAGAGAGAGAGAGCCTTTGTACCTCTGTTACTGCAATCAGAGATGCTACATGCTACAATCCATTATTAGGTGACATTCTGATAACTGTGCTCTGCACTGGGAAACCGAGCTTCATTTCCTTCTTATCCTTTCCCCCCTGCAGAATTGAGAAATTGCATTGCCTAGGCCTTGGAGCGTCCGTGGCTCTTGCAGTGGAAGGAGTGAAGGAGGACAAGGTGGTCAGCTAAAGCAGTCATGACAGTGTTCCAGGGCATGGAGCAGGTGCTCCCAGGGCTGAGGGGCCTGCCGAGCACCAACGAGGTCAAGGCACTGTGGCAGCAGCTGCTGAGAGTCAAGGGCAGATCGTGGACAGACTGCTGGAGGTGCGGGATGGTACAGAGTGGCTGCTGAGAAAAATTCTTAGCATAAAGTTATGATATATTGTCCAAAAGAAAAGGTGCAACTTGGAGGAGTTCCAAGTTGTAGCAACTTAAAGCCTAAAGAATCTGAGTCAGCACATAAATTGGGGCCATCATATCCTCTTCTAGAGATGTTTTAACAAGAATTATGGTTTGTTTATCAAAGATGGCAATTCTTGCACTTGATTTATCAATACCTCATAATTGCTCTAATCATTTCTATGGCTGTTGTGAAACTGTCAAAAAGAATTCACCCTAATTTTGAACCTAAGTGCATTTTTTCTGGAGATAAGTGGAGATTTAAAATCAATTCACAGAATTATTCAAAGCAAATGTTCTAGTAAATGTTCACTCCCTAAAGTGGAAAATAACTAGTGTACATCACATTTCTTTTTTTGGAAGGGTTCTCTCTTATAACTTATTGTTCCAGATGATGGATCCATTGCAGAATTGTCTAAGGTGTATGTAGTACCAGACTATGGGTACTTGGAGAGAAGATTCTGAAGATACTGCAGCATGTGTGAAATTTGAAATTACTGCTATCTGGAGCCTCAGGTAAGAGAAGATGTGATTGATTAGAGTTTTATTTGACATTCCAGGAGATGGAGGGTGAAGAAATGACAGGAAACAAGTCTACATCAGGGATCACTTTAAAAACTAAGACAAACAACAATATGCTCCTAGTAAGTATCCATCTTCAACCTTAATTTCTTATACCTTTGACCACAACAGCCCCTGAATGAAGAGAAATCAGCATCAGAATGATAATTTCATTCATAAATCAAGCATTCACTCACTCTCATTCATGAGACTTTACACAGGGACTGAAAATAGACCCAGGCTTCTTAGAGCAAGATTGTCAACAGCGTGGATCCTCTCACCAACTCTCCACTGTCCTGATCATTAATGGACATTTGTATACTTGAATTGGCATCTCCACCAGATGTGGATAGGCAGATGGTGCTAATAATCATAATCATAGTTTTAATCAAAATTATAATAGCAACTACAATTTATTGAGCTCTTAATTTATGTCAGGTACTGTGCTAAGCACCATATATAACATGTCTAATCCCTACCAAAGCCCATAGCAAAATAGCTACTATTGCTACCCACATGACACAGATAAGAAAACAGAGGTTTGGAGAGTGCAGAGACTTGGCAAAAATAGCAGAGCTAGGAACTAGCAGAACCTTGACCAAAATTAGGCCTGCTAGACTCCAGAGTCTAAGATCCTAAACAGATTTATCCACATATGTGTGGATATATGTTATCAGCTGAGGAACCTGGAAAGAAAGAGGTAGGAAACACTAAAAAATGTGAAGCTTGAGGATAAACACTTTCTTTTGTTAATCTCTTTCCACATAAGATAGTGGCAGAATTGGCACATCTACCGTGCCCCGTACAGCTTCTCCTATTATGGTTTGATACATTTTATGGCAATCGGCCACTTATGAATCATCACCACCTCAGTGAATGAGCAGGTGATAAAACTGTCTGTGGTAGGTTAGGGCGTGACAGGACAAGGAAAAGCAGAAGTGCCGCTGTGACAGGTGTTCTTCCTTTGTGTGCAAAGGCCCACACATATTTTGATCAGTAATTCCAAAAACTCAGTTTATATATAAATTTAAGAAAAGGCAACTCACTGAAAAGATATTATGTTATCTACCTCACAAAGAGTTCACAATTAGGCTTTAGGAAAGGCAGGAATGCACTTCAAACTCAGGGAAAACTCAACTCAAGTATTATCACGATTCCCTTTCTCTATGGCCTCTGCTTTTTTTTGTGTGTCACCTTCTTTGTTTTTTCTTGCTTCTGAGTGACTGACTTTGTCTACAAGGTGGGAAAATGTATCAGCTAAGCGTTCCTGAATACAGTATCTGTGAACAGCTTCAATTCCATTCCAAATTCTTGGGGAAGAATGCTGATTGGCCCTGTTTAGGTAAGGTGCCCACCCCAGAGTATTTAACTACAGACTTGTTTTTTGAGAGCTTTGCCTGGATTAAGTCTAACTCCAGAGTTTCCTCCTGATTGGAAGTGTCAGTGAGTTGGAGTAACCTCATCTAGGAATCTGAGGAAGCTCAAATTTCTGGATATACAAACCGATCACCTGCTCTTGTGGTCTCCAGGGCCCCCAAGCCTGGGTTATCTCCAACAGATGCCACAACTCCCAGCACCCCCAGCACCACTACAGAGAATGTTCACAAGCCACCACTCATGCCCCTATGGTTCTGGCAAAAGCTCAATATGTGACAGCAAAATGAAACATGACATCTGGCGTATCCCCACAATGTTCCTATGGGACAGGTGGGCAGACTTGTCTATCAGAAAAGGCTACTGACATCTGAGAAGATAAAAGAGAAAATACAAAAGAACAAGTAAGGTATAGAAGCGGTTGTATGCCTGCTAAGACTAGGAGCATGGAGTATGTCAGCCCTCCAGCCTTTCTTCCCTCCATCCCTCTCCCCCTCCCTTGTTCTGTCTCTTCTTCCTTACTTTCTTTTCTCTCCCTTCCCTTGCAATGTGTTCCTAAATTCTTTGAGATTATTTTCTCTACTCCATCAACAGTTATCACAACAATAAAGAGAAATATTCCTTCCATTTTCTTAAGTGTGATTCCAAGCAGCATTTAAAAATTGCTGGAGATTTAGAAATGAGGAGTTTAGACTAGTAGACAAAGTATTCATATTTAAAGCCATTAGGTTATTTTCGAATTAATTAGCATGGTTACCTTATTTTCTGTAAAAAGGAGACTGAACAAATGTTCCACACATATTTGTTCCTCTGGGACTTATTAAAATACATGGGCATTTAACTTCTGCAAGAAAATATGCTGCATGACAATGTCATCCTGACAGGAAGACTAAACATCTCTATGAGAATACTCTGCAAATTTATTAATGCATAATGAAAATTTTTGTTACCTAATTAAAATATGCTTTGGAACATGAGCTGAAGGATAAACTAGTAAAATAAGGAAATAGGAAAAATCAATGTGCTTTTTCTTATGCAAGAAGCCAGAGAGAAAATGCTGTAGGGCATCTTTGCTGATCCAGCAAAAGCTCTGGGTATGTGATATATTATGATGTTGCTAGGCATTTATATTTCAGCCCAATAAAAAAGTAATCAATGAGGAAAATGTAGTAACCTTGGTTCGTGTAATAATATTAAAATATAACTTTCATACACTTTTGGTTTTCTCCCCATATGCAAGATTTTGTCCAAGCCTAAAAGTGCCTCTTTAAGAAATACAGTCTACAGCAAGCAGTGCATTTCCATAGCATCAGGGTTTTGCCTAACTAAATAATACCTTGATATTTCCAAAAAGCCAAGAAAATAACAGAGAATCCTGGAGGATGCCAAAGAGTTCGAAAGTCCCATGATTTGGTCTATTATAATCAATGCCTAATGAATGGCTACTTATTTTCCCAGCAATATCACTCTGCATGAGGTTAAGTCATTTGGTTGTATTTTTCCATGTTCTCCATTGCTTAAAAATACATTGTGCCAGGCCACTGGTGCTGTGAAATTTATTCCATCAGAGCATAGGTTTGACCAGACAAGTGATTTGGACATACTGAGAATCATTTCTTTAAGTGTCATTACACGACCTACCTCCAATTTACATGCAGACCAGTTGCTGAGGACCCAGCTGTAGCAGGGGGTCACCGGGCAGGTTTTCTGCTGGGTAAGCTCTGTAGGGCATGGCCGTCCTTCTCCTTGGGTTGGCATAATGACAAATCGAGTCCGGGTCATTTGACCTAAAATGATAACGAAGGTGTCAGCTTTTCAGTTTCAGTTTGGCTTGGAAAGAGAATTAAAGGACAGAACGTTGCCTTACATACATAAGTCTTCATTAAAACACTGTCAAAATGTAACGATGTACACATGAAATTTACATAACATTATAAACCAATGTTACCTCAATTAAAAAAAAACACACACTGAAGTTTGACGTGCAGCTTTCAGTTTTTCTGCCATTTTAATTTAAGTTTTTACAGAGACACACGTTATTTGAAGTCTGCATAATACTCAAGGATCTGAAATTCTGTCTTCCTACTTCTTTAGTCTTCCTAAATCCAAACTCTGTATTGTTGCCAAATACATAGACTGATCCCGTAAACATTGGCAGAATGTTAATTCATTCAACAAATATTTATTTATTAAGCTCTAATAGAATCCAGGCATCCTGCTGTGTGTTAGGGATACAGTGATGAAATGGCCAGATGTACCTGCTGCCCTCACAGACCTTATGTTTTAGGCTAGGATTACAAATATTAAACAAAAATATTAAAAAATAACATGAAGGCATCTTCATGTCTGTTAGGTTCTACATCAGCAAGTAAGATAAAAAATTGCACATAATCTAAATTACCCCAGAAAATTCCCTAGAAAGGTGCCCCCCCGAGGTCCCAATAGTGTCTCTCAATTAATTCAACATGACCAATTTTCCTAGAATTTAAGACCAATTTCTTTTTTCACTGAGCACACGATAAAGTTGTTGGTTTGGGTGAAGGAGCCATGATGTTTGAAAAACATATGTTCAAATACTCATATTCCATTTCCTAATGAAAGAAAATTGGTTAATAAGAATAGCTGAGGAAAGAGCAGGGCTCCCATGTCGTCTTTTGCCCACTCCTAGGCTTTAGGTCATAAGCTCATTAAGTAGAATAGTGGATGGAATTTAAATGCTTGTGTTTCTCTCTCTCTCCTCTGTCTTGCTCTCTCTCCCACTCATTCTTGTTCTTACTCTTCTTTTACTAATGAGGTACTAAGTGCATATAGTTGCATGACTATTAGTTATCATCTGTGAATGTGATGCCCTACTATTGTTGTTATAAAGTTAATTATTTGTAACTGTATTTGTGATAACTGTTAAAGAAAAACAGAGGGTTCTCTGAGAGCATGTTACAGGGATGCAGCCCAGTCTGGGAAGGAATTAGACAACATTTCCTTGAGCAGGTGAGCTTTCAGCAGAAATCTGAAGGAGTAAGCCAGATGTGATGTACAGAGAGCGTCCCACATGGAAGAAAAAGCATGTGAAAAGCTCATGAGATGCAAAGGAGCAGAACATGTTTGAGGACCTGACAGACTAATGTGGCTGGAACAGAGACGGCTAAGGGAAGAATAGGGTGGGGAAATGCTGTTAAAGCTATTAAAAATGGGGTCTTTTTTTGTGTGTGTGTGAGGAAGATCAGCCCTGAGCTAACATCCATGCTAATCCTCCTCTTTTTGCTGAGGGAGACCGGCTCTGAGCTAACATCTATTGCCAATCCTCCTCCTTTATCTCTTCAAAGCCCCAGTAGATAGTTGTATGTCATAGTTGCACATCCTTCTAGTTGCTGTATGTGGGACGCGGCCTCAGCATGGCTGGAGAAGTGGTACATTGGTGTGCGCCCGGGATCCAAACCCAGGCCGCCAGCAGCGGAGCGCGCGCACTTAACCGCTAAGCCATGGGGCCGGCCCCAAAATGGGGTCTTTTAGTCAATGTCAAAGAGTCTACATTTATATGGTAAGAGAAATGGAAAGCTAGTGATGACTTCCCCCCAAAATAGAATTGACTTGAAAGCCTGGGGTAGGAATAATTCTCAGATACCCTCAAGTTCAGGGACAAGTAAGGGTGACTCACACTTTCAGTAACTAGACCTTTTAGTGGCCACCAGAATATTATCATAGATTTGGTGGTAAAGTAATTCTCTCTGAGAAAACCCTTGAAGAAAACTAAAAAGTTCTAATCACTGGATTCTAAATTCCTTGAGATTTGAGCTTCTGTCCCTAACGTGGTGTTTCATATATATTAAGCACTAATTCATGTTTTCATAAATTGTCTAAATGATATCTGGTATCTGAAAATGTGTGATGACATAATAATATCAATATAATTATTGAGCAAGTACCATGTGCTAGGAAATATTCTATATACACTGATTCATTTAATAATCATAACAACCCTAGGGGAAAATTCTATTTTCCCATATTATAGAAGAGGAAACTGAGGCACAGAGAGTTTAAGTCACTTGTCTAAGGTCAAAAAAGTAGTAAATTGCAGAATAGTATTCTAATCTAGAAAGTTTTACTTCAGAGGCCACTGGGTTAGCCATGATGCTGGGTAGACCAGGCAAGAGAGCAAGAATAGCACCTAAGTCTTTTATGGGAAACATAAAGGAAACTTTGGATGGTGGTAAATTTGTGTCAATGATAACGTGGGCTTGGTGAACAGCAGAAGCTACCCATTCTGCATCCTTGGGCATTGAGTGGAACATGTATGTGAAACATGTGTTTGGACAGAGTTCTTCCCAGCATCATTTGAATCAAATCATATAGGTTGGACATTACCTCATTCATAAGAAATATTGTCCCTGCTTGATGAACACATTTGGCTCAAGATTTTACATTAATTCCTGCTTAAACATTTTTCAGTTTTATAATAATCTTTGTTTATTCTCTTGGCCTAAATACCTGTTACCCTAATGTCATTAGAATAATTACGTTCTGTTCTATATTCATCTTTGTAAGAATAATGACAATGTAGTATTGCCTTTATCACAGCTCAAGAGGCTTTATTTCAATATAACCAAATAACTTCAAGTTTGTTCTTGAATTGATGGCATACAGATGGCCATTACTTTAGAACTATTTTATTTCTTTCCATTAAAGTGACAGATATCTTCTTCTGGACACAGAGTTTGAGGGAGCTTAATGAATTCAATAGAAAAAAATGATGCTATTACTTTTTGAAATAATGAAGTCTTAAAACCATTCATTGAAAGCATAGCCATATGATTTCTCTGCCTTTTGCTATCCAAACACAAAGATAAGAGTTTCAAATAATGCCAATTACTACCAAGAGTACATTTTTAAAACAAATGAGTGTATAATAAATCTACATTTTGAAGTATATTGTCATGTTTAATTGGCTAACATTAAAGTTCAATAAAAATAACATTGCATCACAGTGTAAAAGGTAACTGATCTGATGTGTCTGGGGGTACTTGATATCTTTTAATAAGTTAGTTCCTTTTTCTTTTTAAGTCAGGGGTATTTACTTGCATAAATTAAATAATCAGAGAAAGTACCCCTCTAATTAGTATTCTTTCACAAATTCTGAAGTTGTAAATATAAAATCTAGCTACATGGAATACGGATGGTATCCACAAGAAAGGCTGCCATCTCCACGGCAGTGGTCAAATATTACCTGGGATTCCAAACATCAGACTGGATGGAATATTCAACCAAACAAGCCTCTCTCAGAAATAATTATTCTAAAAGGGACCCCTAATGGCAGGAGTCTGAAGAAATTGTTTTGGTGATAGTGAATTTTCAGGTGTGAGGAAGAGCAGTGGAGGATGTTGCCAAATTAAAGATATTTAAAAGTTTGATGTAATACAGAATACGAGAGAAAGAGAAGTTTAGCTGATGTGTGGTGAAAAGAAACCTGGATTTGGCATCAAAATTCTCTAGTTGGGAAACAGTTCTCTCAAATTAACAGCTAGTAAATGATGTGACTGCACGAAAGTACTTTAACTCTTCTGAGCATGAATTTCCTCCTCTATAAAATTAAATTAAGTATACAGAAAGTCCTTATCATCTGAGGATAATTCATGCTGGGGAAAATGCTACTTAAAAGTGAATCTATTTAAAATGAGAATTAAATTATTTTTAATAAATAATAAAAAATGTCTAAATGGGACTTTTTCTGGAACTGAAAAGCATGCAAGTGGGTTTATTTTATCTATATCAACTATCATGTATCTTATAATTGCAACTATGCACTCATTATTAGGACATAGAATAAATCATCTATTGATGTTTCTTATATAATTTTATGATTGCCTTATGAAAGATCCATTGTTTCATGACTGACTTTTGCAGTTTGGTATAAAATCTTGGGCCTTTGAGTCACTTTTCACCAATTTTCTCAAGAGCTCCCTTTACTCTTTGCTGTACAGATCGCTCCATTTTGTACCCCTTTGCTGTGGGTATACATTCCATTTGCAGCTAGAGATTGACCGACAAATACCCTGATGCAATGACAGAACATGTGTGTCAATGGAGAAGGCTTGTTGACTGGGGAATGGCTTAAAAGTTCACTAGTGAATATTTTGATAGTATGAGAGGTATTGCTACGTACAGAACTCACAATTATGGTGATTTAGGTGAAGAATACTCAGATGATGAGATACTTATCTCACATTGGTTATATGAATCAAAAAATACTATATATGAACCACTTACAACATATCTAAAACACAGTAGCTGCTTGTTAAAACTTTTAATATTTTTAAGGATTTATTTTAACAACTATTATTTCATATCAATGCCTAGAACTGGCCCTGGAATAAGCCTATAATGAGTATATAAAGCAAGCTACCTGTATTCTACTGGTTTTATAATATTAAATGCACACTACTATGAAATCTATAATGATTTACACTGGTCCCAACCCACCAAATCCATTACACTCTAGCCTGGAATCTTTTTGCCCTAAAAGTAAGAGTGAGGGTTGCTGCCATGTATATCTGCCTGCTTCCAACCTGAGAGTGGGAGAATTTTCTTGGACCTCTTGCATGTTTCTTTTTTCAAAAAGCATAAAAGCATAAGATACGGACTAGGAATCTATTTGGAACCTGAACTCAATAGTAGATATGGACAATATACTTAATGAGCAATACCAATGAGTTGTAGGAAAAGAAATTGACTATTCATCTACACTTCAGGCTATAAAAGAAAGATACAAAATATGTTTTCAATTTAATAAAGA